ATCTAGTAACTACACAAATCCTTATCAGAGACCAAATATCACATAGCTACAGCCTTTAACTTACAAAATCTTAAGCACATACTCAAGATGTTTGGGAAGGAAGGAGATGGGAGGTGTTGTGTGAATGAGAACTTAGATATAAAACCTGTTTCCTTTAATGGCCAAAGAAGCTGCCATCAGCATGTCAAGAATTTGTTGCAGCTGAGCACAGTGTTCACAATCAGTTGCTGACAGCCATTCTCTTTCTAGCTGCCAGTAATAAATTGTTAATTCTACTAATCAAGAGAATCCTTATGGCTCAAAACCCTACATTAGAAAAAAAGAACAGCATAAACCAAAGCAGGGTATTTGGCATCTCTTTATGATTTCAGTTTCTTTCTTTTTTATTGAAACATCTGATTCTTATAAAACATAGGAAAAGGTGTAGCTGCTTCCTAATAGCTCTCATAACACTTGGAATCTCCCCAGGGTCATGCACATAAAAGGGCACCAAAGGCAGAAGGCAAAGTGATGACTCTAAAAGTGTTAGGCTTAGGCTCTCTGACTCAGCCCATTTCAGATCACAAATAGGCATATGGCCCCTGAAGTAGAATCAATAATGTATTCAGTGTACTATGATACAGCTGTCAATTATTCAAGACAGTGGCAGGAGTAAGAGAAAGAACAAAGCCATAAATCACATTGAACACCTTCCACCCACTTCCTTCAACCTCTTCTTCTGGGCAAACCACATTAGCAATTTAGAAAACTCCAAATGAGTTGTATGTTTCTTTGCAAATCAAATGATGGCCAGAGGACAGAGTAAAAGTCACACCAAGAGGATATCAGATTATAAAACAAAAATAGTAAAGTATTAGGAGCAATGTAGACTATTAACATGAACTAGATTTGGATTAATTGGTTCCCAAATAAGTTCTGATAGTTTGTAGGAACATTGGGATTAGTCAAAGGGAAGGAACACTTTTGAGTAGTCTAGACCTAAGATAGTTTGAAAAGTACTTTTCTGCTGCCCTTTAGAAAGTCTTGTTTGAAATCTAAAATATTTGTGAATCAAATTGAAGGATTAAAATAGTTATGAATAAATAATGATTAATTTCATCTTTGTTTTAAAGAAAAAGAAATTATATTCATTATGGTTGACCTGAAGGAATTCACCAAGATGAATCACCAAATTTATTTTTAAAAAGTCATAATAATATAGAACTTCTAGGGTAGACCATTCTATGTTTCAAAATCATAATAAAAATCATAATAACATAGAACGTGCAGGGCAGACCATTCTACATTTGAAAGAGCGCTCCTCCATGCCGTGAATGCCTCTGTCACATGAGTCTCTGATTTGTCCCTCCTCTCTGTTACTAATTCTCATTCTCACAACATCTGAAGGAAAATAAGTAAACAAATTATGATTCAGGGTAACAAGTTATAAGCATTTTCTGTTTCTGGTTTAATTATGTCTGTTCATTAAATTGTAACACCAGCAACAAAAAAACAGTGCTATAAACTGTGTGGGACATGGTGGCCGATGCCTGTAATTCCAGCACTCTGAAGGTAGAAGAAGAAAAATCTGAAGTTCAAGGTCATCCTCTGCTACATAGAAGTTTGAGATTATCTAGGGCTAAATGAGGCCCTGTCACAAGACAATACTAAAGAAACAAACAAAAACACATAGTTTTTTTAATAAGCATCATTTATCATATGACAGCAGACCCTTATATTTCCTTGGTAATGTGTGCATACTGACTGTCCAGTATGTAAATTGGCCTGAAAAAGATATATCCAAACTGGTATTTATCAAGTATAATATTGAATAATTTATTTTAACTATTCTAATTAGTAAGGAATATAAATGTCTGTTGCCAGCACCAGTTATTAATATATAAATGAATAGTTAGCACATGTATTATTTATACTTTTTTTCAACAAAAGGTCAGTTAGGTGTAAGAAAATTAGGCAAATAAGTTTTTGAAAATAAGGCAAGGTGTTGTGGTGCATACCTTTATCCTTTTACTTAAGAGGCAGAAATAGGCAGATCTCTGTGAGTTCAAAGCCTGTCTGATCTACACAGTGGGATTCTGTCTAAAAAAGAATGGGAAAATAATTTGAAACTAGAAGTGAATTTGTGTGTAAATTCCAAAAACTAGAGTTTCACAGTGTTCGGGGAAGAGCTTTCTGAAAGCCATAAAATTGGATGGTATAGTGCTTACAAGATGAGTGGTTGTCCATACATTTAAATAGACAGATGTTATATGATTGTATGCGTACGGTTTGTCTAGAAAGGAAGGATGTCTACAGGACTGGGAGTATTGCTCATGGTGGTAGTTGGACACTTTCATCTTCCTGTATGAGGAATCATCTATAGTTCATAAGTTAGGTCTAATACCAAGGTCCAAGGATTTACTTGAAGAAACCTCTAGCTCAAACAAGAGTCCTTTTTCTACTTCCCATGTAGATTGACAAGGATCTCCTGAGTAAATTGGTAGCATGGGGACCTTGGGGGAGGGTTGAAGGGAGGATGGGAGAGGCAGAGAAAAATGTAGAGCTCAATAAAAATCAATAAAAAAACCAACCAACTAAACAAACAAACAAACAAAAAACAGTCCTAATGCTGCTTCTTGTCTTTTATTTGGCTGGTGTTGCTAGAGATAGTGTAATTCTCACTGTTCAGATGGATTCTTCGTAGATGTTTCTTTCCACTAAAACCTTTCAAATGCTAACCTCAAAGACAGAGAAGCAGAATTACGTAGTTACTCCTTTCTTCTCTAAGCAGTAAAGGTTTTATTTTAATTATATTTACAGTGTGAATTATATTTATCATTTACACTACAAGCTGTAGACTGACAGCTTTATAATGCATTGGGAAGTTATTACTTCTAAACCTTGGAAGCCTCCAACTTCAAGTCTGTAGCCTCTGAAGCATAAAATGTTGTCTGAACTATGCTGAGTGTGAGCATTCTCCCATTCTCCCAGGTGAACCACTGATTTTCTTGGTTTTCTGTTTTCTTCTCTTGGTCTGGTAATGATTTGAGCTCAAAGGTTTCTCCTCACCACCGTTACACTTCATTGAGGGAATCGAAAAACAAATTCTTTGATTAAAACAGAAAACCTGTTTTCCTACATAGGCTCTGTTTCTGAAGTAGCTGATGGGCTATTGGAATATACTGTAAAAAAAATCTTACTTACCTTTAAATGATAAACAAACATAATGAAAATTACACCAGCAATAAGAGCAGACAAGTAGTAGACATTTATTACAGGCTTTAGTATTTTACTTGCCTTATCTCATTTAAATGTAAAAATCATCCGGTGAGATAGATATTCTGGCTTTATTGATTTTTAATAATGAAGAAAGTAAACTGCCAAAAGGCTAAGTGACTTTACCAAACGACACAGGGTTGGTACCAAACAGCTAAGAAAATTCGGTTCTGAGTCTGATTTCGATAATGTATTAATTTATCGACTACCATGCTATAATCTGCTCTGTCTCATTCTTGAGGGTTACATGAAACTTTTAGGGAACAGATTTATCCCTAAAATCAAATGGGGACACACTATATTTATGAATAGATAAATTCCCCGGGCTGGCTGACATAACTTGAAAGAGGGAGTTTCCTTGCTATGGTCAGTAAGTAAGCCTGAAAAAGCTGGAGAACATTTGATCCATGTTGTAAGTGAAAGCAGTTCCTAAACTTTGGAATCATTGTGTTTGCTCATTCACAGCTTAGTTATACAGAATAATTCAGTTCCAGTATGGCGAGTAGATTCTGGATTTTGTTCAAATTGTTCTCAAATTCCCTGTCCACAGAAACTGTTTAGATATTGAGGCTCAGAGGGAATACTTCCTACAGGGTAGATGGTACCTCCCAGATGCATAGATGAACCATCTTTAATGGTTAAGACTTACACCTCAAAGGGTGTATGAAGGTAAATCAGACTTTTTAAAGCCAATATTATGATTAAACTTGATTAGCTAAAAACGGGAATTAATTTGTTCTCAATACTTTAAAAGAAAAGAGCTATTACAGAAACAGGGCCATAAAGGGACAGCTGTGACACTGGTGCATGGGGCCTGAAGTTAGGACAACACTGGCAACTATCAAGCACGGCTTCATTCTTTTACCAAGTGAGAGGTTTTCTTTTCTACCACAGATGATGGATAAGAGATTGGAAAAGTAGCAAAAGTGGAGGATTATGTCTAGAATAGAATGCCTTGCTTTTTATTTCTCCCCTGGTTGTGTTGGGTGATGGAAATTTTAGGCCACACAGCTACGACTTTTTTAAAATTAATATTCTCCCCTGCATCCCCCATGAATAGCGCTTGCCTTCCTTATTTGTGTGCAGCAAGCTGTGCCCAGTGTATAGTGTTTCCTTAGCTTTTTCCTTCTTTAGCATTTTATTTTCCCAACTCATTGTGGAGCATAAACAGTCCTCTTGTTTTATGGTTGCTTTTATCTGACTGACAGTCCACTTAACAGGCTGGAAAGCATAGCAATAGTTTGCCTTAGTCGATAAGATGTTTCCAAATAAAAAGATACCAAGATCTGCAATTAAATAATGCCCAAGGGTCAGAGTAATTTCTCTCTTTATAATAACTGCCTTGCTCAAAATGAGAATTTCCAAGTTTGAAGCATGCTGTAGAAAATGTGCCCACTTACTCGAATTTGCTTTTGGATGTAAAATAACGTTAAAATTGGAATTACCGTGGTTTACTAAAATTACATATGGAGTAGTTTCATATGCTCCTGTTTCTGCCCCATCTTTTCCTAGCCTTTTCTTTGAGTCTCGCTTTAAATCTGCTAGTGAAGAATTTGAGATGAGATTCTTACCACACATTTTTTCTTGCTTTACATATATCATCCTTTGGGGAAAACTTGGTTTAAATTGGTTCACCGATGCATTTTTTTTAACAAGCTCAATGTTTTTCATGTCATAATGAAGATGCAGCAAATGAAATAACATGGGAGAGAGTTAAGATAACATGTTTTGCCTTCTTCTTCCAGATGGGAAGGTTGAAGTTACAAAAGAAGGTGTGAAGCTGTGCACCATGGGTCCAGGGAAAGTGTTCGGGGAGCTGGCCATCCTTTACAACTGCACCCGGACCGCGACCGTCAAGAGTAAGGCTCATTTCCCTTTGGCCATGTGCCTTCAGTGTCTTCTTTCTGTCTGCCTTTGCAGTGATGATTTGATGCTGGTTGGTTGAATCTGTGTCATCTTGTTAGTCTATCTTCAATTTTTCGCTCTACCATCAAGTTGACACATGTTTACTGGTGACGAGGTGATTGTTGACCATATACTTTACTTCTGGCATGGGATAATGATTGTTCTCATTAAAATTCTTACGGTAGAACTTTTTTAAATGGTATTTTTTTTGGCTCAAATTTACAAAGAGAAAGGCCTTTCCCTTTTTTTCTACAATGAGAGCCTGGGGTGATATTCTGGAATATTTTCAAGCTTTTTTTTTTTTTTTTAAAAAAAAAAGATTATATGAGCCATAATGAATCCCACGTGTTGATTCTGTGATTCAGGTAAGGTGAGGCAAGAAGTGTCCTTTGTCTCACGCAAACATCCCTAAAGAGAATACATCCTGGATTCTATGGCTACATCTGAGTATATTTTCAGCTTCAGCTGCTCATCAAGTTGTGTATTGTAGCAGTTGATCTTTTCTCATTTTGAGCTTGTTTTAAATTGGGCAATAAAGCAGCTTGTTTTCCTGATTTTACATGTATGTGTAGATGTGATTTCTCTGGAAATGCTGGATGTTCAGTAGGAGCAGCTGCAGCAGCTAGAGGGAAATTTGTATTTTTCAAGAAACCGTCTTCCTGTGCAAAGATAAAAGGGTGGTATAATGAATAGAGCTGAATTTAAAACCAACAGTGGAGATCCAGTGTGTCTTTAGGCAAGTGTGCATGATTCAGATTTTTCATGTTATCCCATAGATGACTCCAATGAGAAATTTATGATGAGCAGGTTTTGTTTTATTAAAAGAAGTTGGCAAAATGATAATTTATTAATACAAATTAACATTATTTGGATACCACTGAGTAGTATTTTCCCCCAAGTACATTCTATTATTGGCAATATGCCATGAAGGCCCTGGCTGTAAGGTACTCAAGAATGTCTAGCCACGGCAGGTCCCAGATACAGCTGCCCATGGCTTGCAGTGATCTTTCTCCCAAAGTGCCACAGCAACAGATTTGCTTTGGAGATCATTCAGGATAGCTCCTTCTTGGCCCCCAGTGATTGATCTTAGAGAGCAGAACCTTCAACTGATAAGTACTATCATGCTTCTCTTTCATGCTATCATTTAATTCCACAATGTAAAAAAATTGAGAGCCATGGAAACATAAGAGATTCTGTGCAATGTTAACCCCATAATAAAGAGCCTACAATGGAAAACGAGCAGCTAGGGCCCCATTAAGCAAAACAGATTTTTACTATTATGTTTTGGCTTTGTAAGAAACGTATTTTTAAGGTAAACAAAGGAGCAGAAGAGCACATTTTTGTTAATATATGTTTTCGTAGAATGGCGAATAATTCTTGCCATTTTTAAATTTCGGAACATTTCAGCCTAGTATAATTCTGCTCATTGAATCTAATTGGGACTACAAATTTCCAAAGGTTAGCATATGGTAATCACACCATACCTAATCACATGAAATATTGAATTAGAATATTGGAAGGACTATTTTAAAGAACTAGTTTGTTTAAATGGATTTTATAGCTAATTATTTTTATGAGATAATTACTTTGCTTCATAAAGATCAGTGATCATATCCAGGCTCTATAAAATGGTGTTCATCTTCACTAACTGCTATATACTCATGTTTGACAAATTTAGATAGGCATTATGCAATCTGAATTAGTAAGAAAAAGCTGAATGTTGGGTGCAAAGTGTAATCCTATCTGTTTCCAAGTCAAAATATCCCACACCGAGAGGAATAAGTGATGGCGTCGTTTTCCTTGAACATAAACTGAATCACACAAGTGTATGCCTATGTGCATGTATGTGCATTTCACTTCATGGGGCCTACTTAAGGAATGGAAGTTGCGCGAAGACTTGATACTTGAGGTTGGGGTATGATAAATTGTCTCTGTATTTGCAGTTATAAAGGTTGTGGGCATAAATATGGGATATTGCTTATGAAGAACTATTTCTTTTAGCTGATGCATAAGAGCTGTAAGGTACAAATAATGGTTGTTTATAGCATAGAACTGTTTGTCATGTCTCCTTTCCTATCCAAGGAGATCGCACACATGACTGTGGGCTGTAAGCACCATTTTTTTCTTTATGCTGAAACTAAATGTACAGACTGAAACACTTTATAATTCTTACTAGAATTCACCATGGATATATTTATGAACAGTAACTACAGAATATAACACCAAAGACTAGCTTACTCTTTACATGTGAGACTTTAAAATATCCTTAAACACAATTATCTTTACAGATCCAATACTTTCTTAGGATTCAGTATTATTTGATAGTCCTCTTCTTAACCATCATTTTGCCAGTGATGACTATTTAGTATAGTCCTATTTGAGTTCCAGACTAACACACCGTTCTGTTCATTTCAAAATCAAAGCATCTGCTTGTGCATAACACTACACATCTGAGGGAAATGTCCTTCCTGTGTAATTAGTGTATCTATTCATACCTTTGTTGCTCTTACTTTTCAAGCCTTTGTCTGCCTTCCATAGCTAAAAGTGTTGATGGTTTCTCTGCCTTCCTCCTTAGGCCTTCCATAGCTAAAAGTGTTGATGGTTTCTCTGCCTTCCTCCTTAGGCCGGCTGAAAATGATCTATGCTTTTAGTGCGTTCATGATCTCAGAGTAGTGGCTCAATTCTAGGAGACAAGCAAAGGACCTTCAATGAACATGAGTTTATCCTCTTTCGCAGAAGCACTTTTTCAAATTTACCAGAACATGAGTAAACTCCGTCACTCTCCCCCGATAGTGAAGGTGATCACAGATCTTTTCGTACCGGAAATATTTTTAGACTTCTTAGTAAAGCTCCAGATTGGTATGAAATGCTCTAAAAGATGTTTCATCATGGTGAGCCTGAAAGAAGCATTGTGGTGACTTGAAACAAGCTCTTTTTTATTTTCCCCTGAGGTGAAAGCTTTTTTTTTTTTTTTAACTTTTATTGATTCTTTGTGGATTTCACATCATGCATTCCGATCCCACTTCTCTCCCTGTCCCCAGGCATCCACCCTCTACCGTTGCAACCTCCCCCTCCCCCCCCCTAAAAAAACAATTAAAAGAAAAAGCAAAAAAGCAAACCAAAGCGAGACAGAGGCAGAAAGACTGAGAGACAGAGAGAGAGAGAGAGAGAGAGAGAGAGAGAGAGAGAGAGAGAGAGAGAAGAATCTTGTTACGGAAGCTGTAATGTGGCCAGTCGAGACACACAGTTTACCCTGTAGTCCAGTCATCTTTGTTTGTAAGTGTCCATTGCCAGAATAATTGGTCTGGCGCAAGGTCTCTGGCTGCCACCAATAGTGGACTCTCATTGGGGCTCCTCATAGATGATCCTGTTGTCCTGTGTCGTGGAGATCCTGCTGATTTGGATCTGTAGGTTCATCCCCTTCACATGCTCCAACAGTTCATAGATTTAATGGATGTTCAGGTGGGCCAACTCATAGCCCTAATTTTGGACCCTGGGAATAGCTGAACTGGCCAACCAGCTGGCTTTCCCTCATTGTCATGACCCAGGCTGACTCACCCAATGCTGCCTGCAGCAAGGGGTGGGGCCAGTTCTCTTGCTCTTAGGGCCTCAGATCCAGGTCACCCACACTCAAACCATGAAAGCAAGCTGTACTAGTTTGCCCAGGCAAAATGCAGAACTTTCTCTGCCGATTGCTGTAGGGGGCATCTAAGGGGGTTGGGGGTGTCAGCTCTCCTGTTCTCATGCCCTCAGGCCTGATTCACTAACACTCTGACAACAGGGTTAGCTCTACTGTGTTGCCCAGGCAAGGTATAGGCCCCATTCTCCTGTGTGTTGCAACTGGTCAGGCAGGGCTAATTCTCTCACTCTCATGAACCCGGGCCCAACTCTCTTACCTCTTTTTTGTTTTGTTTTGTTTTAATCTTTCTTAGACAAACAATCAACTGCCCTTCTTCTAAGAGTACATAAATGTATATCACTAGTTGTTCTGATGACCCTGGGAGGAAGGTCTGAGATTACCAGGAACAAATACTTTTAGTCCTCAAAACCATAGTGATGTAGGAAGAAAAACGCCATGGCATGGTACAGAAGATGCATATGTATGGTCTACTCCTGTCTTACAAGGTAGCACCATTGATTTATCCTCAAGGAATGAAGGCAGAAAATGCATAAAATTAACATTATGTTGGAAACAAAAATCTAACAACTTTAAGAGTCTCAAGCAATCTTTGTTAGCTGTGATATGAAATTGGCCACTGGGATTGTACCTGTCCAATTATAAGCACTACAGATGCCAAGGAATGAGAAAAGAATCAGTTGGTACAGTTGGTTTCTGCAACGTATTGGATAATTAGTGTCTCTCATATTGTGTGGACTTTTCAGATTTGTCTAAGTGTTTGGCTTTGTCTAGAGAAAGGAGTTTTACTGTGCAGCTTTCAAAACCCACCAGAGGCAGGGGCCTTGCCTTGACTGAGTACCCTTTCCTAATCATTCCCCACAGCTGTGTTTTACCATATCTCCCTAAGTATCACTCCCAGAGTGCTTGCAATTTACACTTACCCAGGGTTTCTTCCCTGATTTCTGTGCTCAAGGTTCTTCAAAATACCTAAATGAAAAAGGCACTGATGCCAGGCTTCTAAAAACAGAGAGGAAATGTGTTTGAGTCACGCGGAGGACAGGGCCCAGTGGTCAGTACTTAATGTACGCCTTTTCATGACATCTGTGTTGCACTTTATTTTCCTTTCATTTCCCATGACCAGTTCACAGCTACCTAAGGATGTTCACAGGGCAAAAGGTATATGGCTTATTGTTCCACCTCTCATTCACAGAAACTGGGATGTTTTTTGCCTTAAAATACCAAATTAAGCAATGCTCCCCTTACACTGAGTTTGCTAACATATAGTTCCAATAGTGTTGCTCAAATCCTACTCCATAAAAATCGAAGACTGAAAGA